TGAGCGCCTAATTAAGTAGTTCCCTATTACTAAGTACTACACTAGATGTCGTACCTATAACCCACTATTACTTGAGTAAACCCTCTGATCAACTTAGCACCGTTGGATATTCTCCCCAAAGAGGAACTGCCGCTAAAACCCCTTAGGACTAATTTATCCTCGTAGTAAACCTACTAGAGTGGTCCATGTCTCACAAACATGTATCATCTAGGTTTTTCGGTAACTTGCGCCTAGGCCGAGACCAAGTAGTTGCAGTATTTCTCTGCTACCATTACCTACTCCTTGCCCTTGCAAAGTTCATACAAACCCAGCACACACTTTACAGACTATCACTGGTACCTAAGTTCCGTTAGCAATCTAAACTCCCAATCCAGATAGCCCGAAAGGGCTGTGACCTGCCCCTGGTCTCTACGGTTGGGTCCTTTTCTTCTGGTTACTCGGCCGGCGGCCTGGTTGGTATAGTGTCTTGCCAAACACCGGTCCTCGTCCAAACTACTGAAATCGGTATCCAGATCCCTTAGATAGCCTTTTACGTAGTATTGTCGAAGATCTGTCCTATCTCTCTACTCGGGACTTGCCAAGTGGGCTTCCGTGTGCCTCAATACCTGGATTTACATAGCTGTTTCACTCAGGTTTCGTGTAACTCATGCAGCACACTATAGTTCCACAGCTTCCCAATAACCCCTGATACAATCAAATTTACAGATCCGATGATCTATCAGTTTACACACAGTCTGCCGTAACACATTCTGTAAAATTCGAATTTCGTCACCAGTGGGATTCGAACTCTTGTCCTGCCACTTGGGGATGCAACAACTTGACCACTTCACTAAGTCGCTACACCCTCGTATAATTTAGATAGTTAAATATATATATATATGCTTTGATCTAATAAAAATACAAATGAAAACTGCTAATATTAAAAAAAAATATTGAATAGATATTTTTTTTGATATTTTTTAAATTATTTAATATCAATTTCCCTAGTAAATAAAAAATAAATTAAAATTAATAATATGATATAAATAAATACAATTTTATTAGATTATTAATTTAAATAAATCAATATAACAATTTTATAAAAATGCCTTACCAATTTATTTTTACAACTACTTGAAGCATATTTATCTCTTTATGAAGATGTTTTAGTATAAGAACCAGCCAAGAAAACTTTTCTTTAATTTGGCAGCATAATAATATGAAATGATATTACAAATTATAATCATCTATTTATAAATTCCAAATTTGATATCTGATATTATTTTTATATATAAAGAACTTTTTTGACATTTGTAATAAATTGGGATTAATATTTATTGAATTAGGAATATAGATCTCAGAAACATTAACTCTTGGATTAATAACTTGTTTGGTAAAGCTAATTTTTAAAATATTTGTAATATTTGGTTTATCATTAACACTATATAGTTTAAAAACAAGCAGATAAGTTAATTTATTAGTTATATTATTTTCAATTACTTCTTCTTTTTACATCTCAGCTAATATTAACAACTGCATTTTGTATTCTGGATATTTTCTCCTTCAATTTTTAATTATATGAAGAACATATTTTTATACATATAATATTAGTTCTTATAGATGAAATAAGAAAATCAATTGTATTATTAGAAGATAATTTTTTTCAACTAATTAAGAATGTTAGTAAATAAATATATAATTCTTTATTAAAAACTTTTTTGTATTTAAGAACTAATATCAAAAAGTTCTTTATACTACGATCTGTCTAGAGAATTATAAGTTTAAGATAAATTAGTATGTTGAATTTTGTTTAGCGATACAATGTTAAAAACAACAAAACTAGTAACAACATGATAAATTACTATATTGAATTCCTAATCAAGATAGTTTTTTTGCTCTCTTTGCTTATTATCAAATGTCAGAAATAAAAAACCTTCAAGCAAAGTTCTTTGTTCTTTGACAACTCCTTTGGAATCAATATTCACTTCTCAAATTTATGATATAGTTGTTGATATTAATGATCATTCTTGACCTGACAATCAAATATATTAAATCAATAGTAATAACAGTTTTAAACAACTTTTCTTGGCTTAAAGTATCATCTTGAGCATTTCAAACTAGAGTCTCTATGAATTTGAAACCAATTTATTAAGCCATTTGTGTGAACTATAAACTATGATGTTCTCTAAGAAAAACCGAGCATTATCATGAATTAATGATTCTATATCATTGTATAATCCGTTCTGAGATAAATTAAGATTAAAACGTTATATGATAATAACCATGGTTTAGATTTTTTGAAAATATGGTAAGTATTATAGTAGGCGTCATTTCGAAACATAGGTTGAAGAAAGTTAACAATTAGTTTTGCGAAGACTTTTAATAACAAAAAATTATGATTGGCACTCGGATAAATTAATTATGAGCTCTCTTCAAACTATTTGTTTCGAAATAACGCTCATGGGCCGCCTTTGATGAAACAGTTGCAAATTCATTTCCATCATTAAAAAATTTAAACCCTACATTACTGTTTCCTCAACCTTTGAAATTATATAAAAGCCGGATTCGAATGCTTTGGGACATCTACGTTCAATATAACCCTTAATATCATCTTCATAACCTTCTTTAAAAAAAGCAAGTTTGATAAATGTAATCTCCAAATACATGCTTTATAAAAAAAAAACTTTCTAAATGCTTTTTTTTTGGGTCCAACTAATATCATACTTGTAAATTTTACTTTACTAAATACAATATACTGTATTGTCGCGAAATAACGCGCATGGTGAAATTAAGAATTTCGGCCTAAATTAAGCTTAATTCGGGCCATTATTCTAAATAACGCCCATGCCCGTTATTTCAACAGTTTTAAAATACCAGTCTAAAAAATTTCGCTGGAAATTTAGTCTAAGAAACTGCCTTCTGCGCACTAACAAAAGTTTTCCTTGCGAAATTTTGGTATAAACTATAGCCCTCTAAACAAACCTTTTAGCAAGATCCTAACACTAACCTAACCGCGAAACTTCTTTTAGCGAAATTTTTTTTATTGGTTTTAAATAAGATCACATGACGTGCGAAATTTTTTAGACTGGTATTACTAGCGCTAGGACCAATGTTGTTTAGCACACATCTTTCTAATTTTCTTTATATAATCCATCACAGAGATGTGTATTTGTTTTAAAATGAAGTTAGAATCCCTGAACTTAATTGTCGCGTCGTGTAATAGATGATTATTAATAATGATTACTAATCATCTGCGACATCACACGATCGATACGTATTAAGTTTGGATTTCCTGTAACCTTAAATAGATATAAAATTTTTTATATACGTAACGATAATGCGTCTATAGAGGAAAAATAGCTATAGAATGAGCAAATATGTTATATATGTTGGTAAGTGGAGAGTGGATTTGGAATTTTAGGGTATAGGGTTTATAAAATAAACTCCACCCCGAAATACCAATTTAACTAAGAAATTTAAAACCCCTTAAATCCCGTTCCCACATACAACATACATATTTACTAAGAAAAAAAAATATATCTATGCTTTATAAAATATTTATTTCAAACAACTTTATTTAGTGAATTACTTATTACAAAATCTGGTTTATCTGGAGCTTTCTGGCTGTAATTCGAGATTATCAATCTAAAAACGGATGTAAATATTAGTATCCTATACCTTTTTTCAAATAAAGCCTTTTCATATTATATAGTTTGTCAAGCATATAAAACAAAGTCAAAATGAATAAAATAAAATTGATACAGGTTAGATCAAATTTGATAAATATCCAATTATTTTATATTATAAAACAAATATTTAATATGCACAGCATAATAATTTTATTTTAAATAAGTTTTAAACGCCTCACATTGGTGCGATTTAACGGGGGGAAAGAAGTTGTTCGTACATATAGTATACAAAATGAGAACCAATCCTAAATTAGAATACAAAGACTATGGTACAGTGTAATAAGGTCGTTTGCAAACATTAAGAAACTAGAGGTCGGAAACGGTTATAACGAATCGGGTTTACATGTAATTAATATTAACGTTAAAAATCGGTTAATATTTCAACCAAACCGGTTGAATTTAATAATAACCGGTTCTGACTAAATCAAAAATAAAGAAATAAGGCCATCCAAAATTAATTAATTGGTTTTCATAACCCGGCTGGGTCAAATTTTGGAAACTTTAAAAATTTTTTGTTTTAATAACTGGGTGGGTTTTAAAAAAAAATTTTGTAAAATTTTTACATATGAAATTCAAAAAAAAAAAAACGCCGGTCAGGACAGGGTCTATTTAAAGTTTCATGTTATGAAAACCAAGATATTAAAATTGTGTGGCCTAGCTAAATAACAAATTTTAATCTTCAGATTTAATAGCTTGTTCTGAAGTTTGTGTTGATGTTAAAGAACCTGGAGTGTTTTCAAAATTTGAAACCTGTGTCATTTCCACCGTTGATGTTATTGCCGTTGGTTCATTGTTAATTATTTCTGTAACGCCACTTTGATTATTGTTAGAACTATTTGTAGTATTACCATCCCCTTCTGACCTATTTTCCACCGTCACTACTGAACCTTCATCACTCTCATTACCATGTATCATAATTGTATTTCCATTAACTTCATCATCTCCCACTACCGTATTTGCATTTGACCCCTCTAAAGATTCTACGTATTTAGGTAAGGATAATCCATCATACGGAGGTAAATATTCATCAACTGATCCAGCAGTTGAAGCGGTATCGAATCCGTTTTCGTTTCTGACCCTCGTAACGTTAGTAACTTGACCATCATTTGGAGAGAAATTACGCCCTCTCATCTTATTTGCAAGTTTAAATAACCAAAATATCAATTCGACTAATATTACGATAGAGATTACTATGAGAATAAACTTTGTTATTTCCGAGCTATAGTTTGAATTCGTCATATTGTCGTTGTCTGAGTGGGGATTGGAACTTTGATTCCCATCTATCTTTGACATTTGGGTGGGTGATGGTACAGGCACAGAAATTACGGGGGAGGTCAGAAGAAACAGAAGCGAACATATTATGAATTGAATTGTTGAATGTATAAAAATAGGATTAGGTGTTATTAAAGACCGCATTTTGAAAATATTTTGTAAATGCTTTTTATATATATGTATCGGTATTTTGAGGTAGGTAATTAATTGTTTATATTTAATTTTACTTGTTACAAAAAAAATGTAACTAAAAAGAGTGTATTGATCTCTTTTCTCGTTTAGATTATAAATTTCTTGCTGCAATCAATACATAACTTCATATGTGTTGTATCGAGTTATTAGGAGGAAACACATATGTAGAAAAAAAAGGACTTTATCGAGAGTTATGATTCAATAAAAGTGACGGCTTATGATGACAGAAGAAATTTATAAGAAACAAGAAAGAGTACAGGAATAAGAAGGAATAAGAAGGAAAGAAATGTTTCGAATCTCACGCCTTAGTATTATTGTATATATAGGTCATGTTTTGTTTGTTTCTGCACTGGGTACAATTTAGTAACAAAAGGAAATTATTGACCGTTATGTCCTCCTTAATAGTTAAGATCTGTAAATATTTCATTTCACAGATAAACCAATCATGTACAATTTGTACAATTTCTATTAACATTAAAATTTCGGGGTCCAATTTATTATCGGGTTTGTTTCGGATTAATAAATATATTAGTACGCAGTATACATGTGTTTAAAATTCAGGTAATTATATAAATTACAACTTTTTGGGCCGTAGAATGGTATGAAATCGGTGTAACTTGAACTTAAAATGGATAAGCGTCATAATCGTAAATTACAAATTGCATCAGAATTAAACTTTTTGTTCTTAAGCTGCTTATCCAGAAAAATTATAATCTCATAGCCTAAAACGAATTATGCCGGACGAAGCGGGTCACAAGAGACAGCGTGTTTCTAAAGCCTGTGATTCTTGTCGTCGCAAGAAAGTAAAAGTAGGTGCTTTTTCTTTGAAAGATTTAAATATTTTTGGTTATCATTTTATCAAAAAAATTTGCCAGTTATTTCAGTGTTACAATTCTCCGTTAAATTGTATTATGTTTGTTTACTGTTTTTTTTATTCTTCCCTTCGTTATTCTTAGTGTGATGGTGTTCAACCAGTGTGTGGCAACTGTTCGACCTTTAGCCTGGATTGCACTTATAACGATGCCACAAAAAAAAGGTTTTTATCTTATTTTTCGTTTTTTTTTTTTTTTTTTTTTTGTTTTTTTTTTTGTCAAGAGAATCCATAGAGGGAACCATCATGGTCAATTTCCTATTTTTAATTTCAGTTACCCTCGATTTTATGTTTCATGTTGATTTGTTGTTTTATGCAGGGGTCCCCCTAAAGGTTACATCGAAGCCATTGAGACACGATTACATAGAATGGAATCTCTTTTAGGTGGGTTAGTTCACAGCAATGATCCCTTTGCGGAAGCTGTATTGGCAGAGTTGATGCAAGATGACCCGCGTCCTTCTCGTAAATCTGGAAATACGGAATTTACATGGAGGAATGGTTCTATATCAATGTATGGTGATACGGGTAGTAGTGGCCTGCAAAGTCCTGAAAATGTTCAGGCAAAAGATAATTCTATTATTGATGATTTAAATGATATTATGGGAATCCTTAGCATAGACGAGAACAAACAGGTTCGTTATCATGGACGAAGTAGTGGACTTTATCTCTTAAAGAATAGTGAACGATACAAAAATGGGATTTTATCGTTATCCGATAATTCTCCAGAGGAAACTTTAATTTCTACCCAAAATCTAGAATCATTAAAGCGACCAGAATTGACGATATTACCTTCCCAAGAAATATCCGAACATTTATTGGAGACTTATTTCACGCACATCCATCCTCTATTACCTATTATCTATAAACCAATTTTTTTTAATCGATTAAAAGATCGAGATAATCCACCACTTCTTCTTTTAAATGCTATATACGCTCTTGCTGCGAGATTTTCTGACAGACCTGAATTAAGAAAGAATCTTCAGGATTCGCAGACGGCCGGCGATGAATTCTTTGATCGTGCGAAGGCACTACTAGATAATGATTATGATAAATCTCATATAACAACCATTCAAGCTCTTATTATAATGGCTTTAAGGGATATTAGAATTGATAATACCACGAGAGGTTGGATTTATATTGGTATGGCTGCAAGAATGGCGCAAGATTTAGGTATTCACCGTAATAACGAAAAGTGGCAACCGATCTCGTTATCACATGCGGAAAAAGAAGAACAAAAACGTGCCTTCTGGTCTTGTTTTGTAATTGATAGGTAGGTGAATATCTACTCGTACATCTTCGAAAGATTCACTAATATTTTATATTATCTGTTAATATCAAAATTTGTATATCAATACTTGTATGTATGTTTTTTTTTTATTTTTATTTTTTTTTATTTTTATTATTATTTTATTATTATTTTAATAGAATAGCAAGTACACATATGGGACGTCCGTTAGGCATTGATGAAAAAGATGTGGATGCTGCGTATCCATCAGAAGATGAAGATGATGAATACGAAGCACTTCCGTTTCAAATGGCACATGCAACAACGTCTTCAATGTTATTATCATCCCCCTCCCCTAATAGCAGCATTATCGGGTCACCTATGTCTCCTGCTTCAACGTTAGTTAACAAAGATATGCAAAATGTCGCATACTCTGTTTCGCGGTTTAATCATTTGATCAAGCTTTGTGAAATAATGGGACGTATCATTCAAAATATATATGCGATCCGATGTAATATAGCTTCTGCTAACAGTACAGTTATTTCGGTTCTTGATTCATCTCTTACGTCTTGGTTCGTAAACTTACCGCCACATTTACAATACCATCCATCATCAAATCAACCTTTTGACGCCACAACACTTAATCTTCATGCTTTATATTATTCGACGGTAATACTTCTTCATCGTCCTTACGCCAACACAATTGGTAAAAATTCATCTCATAACATATGTACTAATGCAGCGAATGCTATCACTGAAATCGCTGATACAATGAGGAGGCGTAAACATTTAAGACATAGTCCTACCACGGTAATTTATTGTACGTTCACAGCTGCTGTTATTCATACATGCAATGCTGTTCAACCTGATGTCTCTATATCTCAGCCAGCAAGGGAGAACCTTGGGAAGAGCCTAAAAATATTAGATGCTTTAATGGCTATTTGGCCATTAACTTACAAATATGCTATTATACTAACAGAATTAGCAAACTTGAGAGATGTACAGTTGGACGTAGATATGGAGTCAAAAATTGATAGACCAGAAGACGGATTCAATTCTAGGAAACATATTAATCCCACAATCTTAGACCAGCATGAACGACAAGCGGGATATCACGCGTTAAATAATAAAACTATATCACATAATAATAAAGATAATTCTACACAATCACAAATCTTTAACTCCATATCTTTAAATTCACCACAAACTTATGAACGACATCATTCTGTAATGGGTTTCGGTAATCCTATTACAATGTCTTCACAACCCTCACCTTCGTACAATCAACCAAAATCACAGCTACAGTTACATCATGATTTGCCAGAGTCTGCTCAAATGTTTAATAATCCATTTGGGTATAGGTATATTACCTCTGCAACAGCAGATCAACAAAATCAACACACTATAGGTGGTACTGATCCATATGCTGCACCAGGCGTAGTATCAACAAATAATAGAATAGGGAATGAAACAATCAGTTCCCTAAGTTCGGATTTTTGGCTTTCGTCAAATACAGATTTAGATGAAAGATCTTCGTATTTTGGTTCACAACAAATGCAACAGAATGCTTCACCATTCTCTTCACCACCTACATTACACTCTCAGCCACAACCACTAATGCAGATGCCGCTGCTACATGATGATGGAAACGATGTAAATATGTTTGCGGATAATCATGCATTTGTTGCTATGGGAGTTAGTAATAATAGAAGAGGGAACACTTCACCATTGGCATATTATTGAGAATTTTTGAATCTATGATATTTTATTCCAAAATATATTTACAAATAGAAATCTATTTTACGAAACGAATGTATAATGTAATAGATATATATACATATATATATATATATCTATATATGTAAATCTAGGACATTGGCTAGACATTAGCTTGGACAGTAGTTGTAAGAATGAATTGTTAAGTATTAAGATGTCTATAAGAGTTTAATTTATTAAAAGACTTGTTAATTATTAATATGATCAAAATAAAGAATCGATTTGTGATGTCATCTTTGATAGAATTTATCAAAAATGGAATGACCTTGATTAATTCGTCTGATATGATCGTGATATTATATATATATATATATATATTTATTTATTTAACGTTAAGATATCCAAATTTTTTTTAACGTCTAACATTTAATCAGAAATTACAAAAATAGGTGATTATCATTACACTTATGGTGTTCTCAAATCAATAGGTCTGAGTTCAATTTTTAATTAGTGGAAAATAAATTATTCGGTCAAGCGAGTTCATTATCGCGATGAAAAACAAGACGGTCAGAGACCATCATTTTTTATAATAGAGTGCTGATTGGCTAAAATTTAATATCCGCGTTTCGCAACATGAATCTTCGACAAAATTACCGTAAGGTTTACTTCAATTGATCGTAGTACTTGTGCACGATCTCTGTAGTTAGCTAATTACACTGAGAAAGATGCTTGAGAGCACTCTTAGTTCAACTAATTGATTATCAACTAGGGTCAATACTTGAGAGGCTCGCACCTTGTGCTAGAAGCATGCATTTTAGGCATTACCAAATTTTTCTTATTCATCCGAATTATATAATAAAATCACACGTCTGACATATGTGGTATTATTTAAAAATTACAACATATCGAAATTTAATAGTATTACGGCGAAGATATTAATTTGCGAATCGAATATCATTGAAATGAATTGAAGTCGTTAGATTTTGAATATTCGATACGCCGCATTATCTTTATCATAATGCTTCTTTTCTCTTAGAATGTTGAATACCAAGGTTCTTTGTAAACAATAATCTGCATTCATTAGGCTCGTCTGAAATTGTACTTGCAGGTCAAGTCCCCCAAAGTAGTTGCAAATTATAAAAAAAATTCATTCCGAAATTTCACAAATACCATTATATAAGTATAAAATCTATCCGTTCTAGATTAACTTAAAACGAACTAATTTAAAAAATCAAATTAAGCCTTGTAACTTAAAAAGTTATATTTAGTTAAATAAAAAGCCATGTAAAGTTAATTTTCGGGGTCTCATAACATAAAAGTTTTAGAAAGAGATCCGGAACCTGATTCTAACTTTGCTTGGTCATTCAATTTTTTATAATTGGCAACTCTTTTTTAGGGTCTGAGCCAAGAAAAAAAAAAAATTAAAAATTGCATTTTTTTTTCGTTTGTGTGATTGCTTTACATGTCAAAATATGACAAAAAAAGTTAGCACAGATTTTTTCAAATTCTTTTTGTTAAAATATGTACGTACGTATGTAAAAGTAGATGTTTATTATTACCAGGATATGCAGATAGGTTCCGTTAATTCCCATATCAGAAAGTTCTAAAGTTTATCTGTATTCAGAAGTTGGTACGCCCAATTTCATGCCTGTTTTGTTTAACTTTGTTTTGCCCGCGCTTTTTTGATAAAAGCAACCATTTTTGTCCCGTCTTCAAGTTCCGCACGAGGGAACAAGCATCTGTGCTGCACAATTCCGCAGTTAGAAACTATTAAAATCTATCTGTTATTAATTTTTTTTAACTATATGCTATGCTCTTGATTTTATTGGTCGAATAAAAAGGTATGACAGATGACGTTGTATTCGTCAACTTTGGTAATTTGTAAATTTTGTTGATCAATTTTTTTATATTATAGACAAAAACACAGCATTCGTTTTCAAATCTTATAATTTTACGTTGTCTTTTTTTTTTTTGTAAATTTTTCTTTTTTTGCATCAAACTTAACATAATTTGATCAATACCCATAACGGCAACTACTATTTCACTCTTTAATAAAGAATAATTTTTTGTCCGAATAAAAAGCGATTCGTCAAGATCCAATTTTACTTTTTCGCTCTATGGCATTCAATCAGC